CTTTCTCTCTACTCCTTTCTCTCTACTCCTTTCTCTCTACTCCTTTCCTTCTCTTGTGGGTAACTTAAAACTGTGTTTTATTAAAGCTGTTGAATGGATTGTTTAGTGAGGGCTAAGGGAAAACTCAAAATTATTGTGGGAAAATGGAATGGTATAAAAAATAGGATGCCTAAAATAACACTGAACCAAAAGCATAACAGCTGAATTGAAAAATCAAAATTTATAAAGGGCAATACTTTTTATGTGCTGTAACAATGGTTTGGATTTTGTTTCTCTGGGAATCTGCTGAGGCTGTTGCAGTACTGCAGAGCAGTGGGATACTGATATGAACCCCAAGAACATCTGAATCTGTCGTTAAGTCTGTCACACTTGGTAAGGGATTGTCGGAAAATAAACTTCAGCTCAGTCAGGCCTAATACAGGAATATAAGCGTTAATCGGCTAGTCAGAGAAGGAAAAGGGCCACTAAAAAAACATATTTGGATGTATTTGGGAGAAGCTGGGTGTGCCACTGCTCCCTGCTGTCCGTGTTGCTGAGCTATAGTATGTGGTTGCTGCAGCAGAAGAAGGCCGGGGGGTCCCAGCACTGTGGGTGACACATCTTTGCGAAGCAGCTCGCTCTCCTTGCTGCCCTCGTTCCCCGGTGGCTCAGGAGCAGAGGGCAGAGCGAAGCCGGCGGAGGCTCCGCTCCGTGAGGCGGGGGCAGAGCGCGGCTTCCCGCGGCCTCGGGAAGGAGCCGCCCCGCTCTCTGCGGGACTCGCCCGCCCTTTCGGTTTCGCTTCCACTGAGCGGGCGGTGCTGCGGGAAACGAAACTTCGTGCGGCGCCGGGCTGGGCTGCACCGCTCTGGCTGTTGGAGCTGCGGGTCTTGGAGCTTCTGCTGCGGCTCGCAGGTAAGCGGCGGGGAGGGCGGGCAGGGGATCCAGCGGGTTCCACGGAGCGGCGCTGGCCCGAGGCGCTCGGCGGGCGGGAGCCAGAGTTCAGCTTTGGACAGTGAGGCTGAACCTGCCCGTCATCGCGGTTTGAAGAGGTATGTTCAAGTGCCGCTAGGCTCCCCTCTCAAGGAAGCGATTCTAATTCTGGAGAAACGTAACTGATTATTCTACCCCCACAGAATCAAGCGAATGTTTCTGTCTTTTCCTGTCAAGAAATCTGCTAGGAAATCTTCTCTAATCACTAAGTTCTCTGCTCTGCTTTCTAAAATTGTTATTCCAAGCAATGACTCTTCAAAAACTGTGGCAGATTAACCATTCGAATTAGATATTCGAATTAATTTTCTATGAACTTTGTTACTGGCACCAGTTTTCTATTTTACATCACAGCAGTGATCTACCAGGAGTAGGGGCTGTCTCTATTCTATGCTTAGAGGCACAGACAAATTTTTGATTGTTACTTTGCAGAATCTGAGATTGCGCCAAAATGGATCTTGAATGTATGGAGAAGATCAACCATTACTGTCAAATAAATAAACTTACACTGCTTTATGACCCTGCTGGGATGACTGGCCCATCTCACGATCCTGAGTAAGTTCACTATGCATGTCAATAACCAGAGGGGCTCTTCCTGTGATGAACAAACTGGACAAAGGTTGCAGTCATAAAAGTTAATTTGCTAAAAGAATATATGCAGCAAGAGAGCTGATTGAAACCATAAATTGAGTGGTAGATGCACGGGGAGGACATGGTGTGATAGAGTTTGGGAAGAAAACTGATTTCAAAGATGATAGCTCTTTTTCGTAAAGCAACAACAATGCACTTGTTACTAGTAACTATATTTCGAGTATGTTATGCATCTGCCATAAAATCTCTCAGGAGGTGGGTTGAGTTGCAGCATGTAGTTCAGTTTATGATCTATGGTAACTTAAGTACTTTGATTTCTCTTTAGTTTTACAAAGCATTGTTGATGCCTAACCATAAAGGTTGAGTGTATATTAATTGATTGTGTACCAATGTGCTTAATGTGTAGTTTGTTTTTGAACATCTGTTCAGAAAAGAGAACAGAAAACGGTCTTTTACCTAAGAAGTTTTGTTTTCCCTTTAAGAGACAATTACAGGTGATGGAACATACTTTATTTTTTTTAACACAGATATAGTGTTTTGCTATTTTTTTTGCTTGCCAAATATCGTAGATACTCAAGATCTATAGTGTTTCCTTGTGTGATTTCTTTTTTTTTTTTTTACTAGTTTGCATGAGGACAAGCCTTATGCTAATAACTGATATGTCTTTTAATGTCTTGCATGTTGTAGACACCCAGCACTGTTTACACAGACTTATTCTTAGACCTGACTATAGTACTAGAATAAATTAAAGAGTATTATCTGTGTCTCAAATGTTAATCAGTTATCTTAATTTTTTTCCCCGTGTGGCTCATGTAACTCAAAAAGTAACCTTTATTGCAGTAACGGCCACAGCTTTGGTCACAGAGCTACGTTTTTGTGCTTCAAAAGTCGCAGCACGTGACTGACAGAATTTATACACATTCTAAATCTGTGCTTTTTCGTATTTTTCCGTGTGCTCTGCTACATTCACAAATACAGTTCAGCCCGTTGTGTGACAGTGGTATCTAGGAAAATCCTAGATAACCTGGCCTATTTCGAGGATACAATGTAAAGTGTCTGGCTTCAGTGATGCCTGGAGTAAACCTCCTTCAGTGCCTTGGTGATGCTCTTTCCCAGTGCTCTGCCTGCTAATGGGACACACTGGCCACTGCTGGTACTGAGCTGGCTCCCTAACTCTTCTGTGCTGTGTTTTATCTCATGCAGTTGTTTGAGACATGGTGCTGAAATAGCTGGTGCTGTAGCTGCTTCAAGTACAATGTCTGACAGGGTCAAGGCCGAACACAGTTTAAAAAGGTTGAGAGAACCCAGGTGGCCCTGTCCTGACTGGCTGCAAGCTTTCTCGAGCTGGGAATGCAGTGTGTGTAAAACTAAGCCAGTCCTGCCTAAACCTAGCAAATCTGGGAATTGCTTATTATCTCAGGGTTCATGGTGAATAATTATGACTGTACATTTGGAACCAACTCATGTAACGTTCATTCAGCTCAGCTAATTAACTCATTGGTCATTGACTGCACATTTCTTCAGGATGCTTAAACAAAAGGGTGAATTTTTGATGCAATATAATAACTGAATGTGTGTAGTATTCAGCATTTAGGTGTGGGTTGACTAACAAACCCTTTCCTAAAGAATGATCTTTCTTTCATATGTTTGTTTGTTCGTTTGTTTGTTTGCTGTTTCCTGTGTGTAGAGTATGTGGCACACTATCATGTGCCTTGTCCTACTATTTGCCTCCTTAAGGTTTCTTGTTAAACCTTGCTTACACAATGAGTGCAAGCACTATTCTACATCTGCATTTCTTTCCATGCAAACATTTCATTAAAGGGAAATGGAGAATGAAATTTGGGAATAATGGAAAAAGTGAATTCCTGAAGTCATTGCACTATTTGACAATTTATCCCACGGAGAAACTTATGGTGTTATACCTGGACTGTTTTGTTGTGTGAATCCATCTTGTTGGCTGTGAGCATCTATATGCTCCACTGCACTCTGAAGCACTGGCTTACCCTGAGGCTCTAACAGTCACTTTAACTTGTTGCAAGTTTGTGCTGCTGCCAAAGGCAGAAATCTGGTTGTTTTATCCTCTGTTGCCTTTTGTGCAAAGGCAGTAGCAGAAACATTAGGGGATTTGCAGCTGCAGGACAGGTTGGATCTGGATAAGGACTGATTTATCTGAATCCAACCATTTCTTATTAGGGCACTGTGGGGGGTTGACCTCAGGCAGCAGTGAAACTCCCAGCCAGCCACTCACTCACTTCCCCCCAGTGGGACAGGGAGGAGAATCAGAAAGATGAGAGGGAGAAAACTTGTGGAGTGAGATAAAGACAGTTTAACAGATGAAGCAAAGCTATATGTGTGACCAAAGCAAAATAAGGAATTTGCTTACTGCTTCCCATCGGCAGGCAGATGTTTAGCTCTTTCCATGTAAGTGGGGCTTCATGCCCAATGGTTACTTGGGAAGTATAACTATAACCTCAAATGTTGCCTCTTCCTCCATCTCCAAGCTTTTATTGCTGAAAGTGATGCCGTGTGGCATGTAATATCCATCTGGTCAGCCGCCTTGGTTGTGTCTTTTCCCAGCTTCTCACATATCCCCCCTACTTACTGGAAGGCCAGAGTGGGGAAAAAAGAAAAAGACCTGGTGCTGTGCAAACACTGTTTAGCAATAGGTAAAACACTGTTATCAACCTTGATTTAGTCCTATATCCACAACATACCACCATTCCAGTTGCTCTGAAGAAAGTTAACTCCATCCCAGCCAGATCCACTATAGTTAGTCCTGAGCTGCATCAGACTCCCATTTTGACCCATGGAATTGCTGTATGGGAAGCAGCATGTGCACAGTTGTGCGATGGAGGGATGGAGCAGGAAGGGATCAGGACCTGAGTGTGGAGGGGTATGACTGGGTGGTGGTTTTTTGTTTGTTTTGTTTGGGTTTTTTTTGTTTTTCTTTCTTTTGTTTGCATTTTTTTTTGCTTGTTTGTTGTTTGTGGCTGTCTTTAAATTCATCTTTTGCAAAGCACCAGACACAGTTTTTGCACTTACTAAGTAGTGTATATTACAGGGTATTAAAAGTGAATGCAATGTCACATCTGGTTTCATGAAATCAAGATTAGCTAATCTTTCCTCTCCGTACAGTTTTGCAGTGCTGAGATGTGTCCTGGTGTTAGGGCCTCGCAACTTTTCTTGTAAAAATACTGACCTCATGCACTCTCTTGCTTTTAAAAATTTAAATAATTTTGCTTTTAAAAAGCAGCTAAGCAGTTAAACATACTGTTAGAACTAATAAAGTACATGCATTTGTGACTGGGGGGGAAACACTTTAATATATTTATACTAAAGAATTATGATAACCAGGAGTTGGATATAATAAAAACACAGAAACAGTTCAATACCTCACAGTATATTATTGTAGATAATAAACCCAAAGTTTAATCTGAGAAGGTTATTAAGTATATATGAGGCAAAATGTAACAATGCTTTAGAAAAGTTTCCTTCATTGCAGGTTCACAATTGTGGTCAAACTAAATGGTGTGGAATATGGTACAGGCACTGGTAAAAGTAAGAAAGAAGCAAAAAGAGTAGCAGCAAAAAAAACGTGGGAAATGATTGAGAAACAGGTGAGTAAATAGCAGGAGTAAGTTTTGGGGTTTTTTTTGGCTAGTAAAGGTTTCAGATGAATGTCTCAAAGTAGACTATCAATAAAATGTCATTTTTTTTTTAATTTGGAAAAGTTTCCAATTACTTAAGTTATCTTTGTTCTGTCTTATTAAGCACTTTTCTACCTTTTACCACTGAATTATTTTTCTTATTATTCTACTACAGGGTTGATATGTAGTATTGTGAGTGTTTCCTCCTCTGTTGTTATAGGAGGATGAGGAAATGTATTTGCCTTTGTTAAGCTGCCTTGGTGTATCCAGAGGGGACAGTGGTCCCTTTTCATCTAGACAACTGTTCAGTAATTCAGTGTCCTCAACACATTTGCAGGGCATTGCCCAGTATGTCTGTTACCACTTCACTAATGAAATTACTTCCTTTCACTTGCTCTGATTCATCCTTATTTCCTTGTCATTACATTCTTTACATTTTAACTGGTTATATACTCTATCCTTGATTAAGTTGAGGTTTGAATTTTGCTCCCCAATGTTCTGCCAAGTGTTTTGTGATAGCCATTCTTTTCTTTTTGACTTTGAATGCTTCTTAGCACTTTTTGAGAGAAATCTTTCCTTACCTGTTTCCGTATGATTTTTATTGTGTCACCGTCATTACTTTAACACAATTGCAGCATGTTTGCTAATATATTAATAATACTGCTTAATCATGAGACAGCTGAAAAGTCCTGCTTTCTCCTCTCCTGCATACACAGGAGCGTTTGCAACCTTTGCTAAATGGCAGCATCAGCAACATCCTGATGCTATCCCTTCTTCGCAGCTCATACCCTGTCTTTTCCTAAAAGAAGTGGGTTGTTAAAGACATAGGTGTAGTACTTGCAAAACTGGATTTACATTTCTTTCAAAAAGTAATATTTTAGGGTTAGGATGTTTGTCCTTGGCCACAAGGGACTCCATAAATGCCAACCTAGGATTTCTTATGAGTATTTTGAAAAACTGAGAAACCTTGCAGCTATATTAGATCTTGGGCATTGTTTATCTTAATGTATTTATTAAGCTTAAGTTTTTAAGTTACCTATTTTGTTTGCAGAGTCCTCCAAGTATGGGTGCTGCAGAATCAGCAACAACTCAAACAATCTCATCACCTGAACCAGACAGAAACTATGTCAGTCTACTGAATATTTTTGCACAAAAGACACGGCTAAAAGTTGATTATCCTGAAAGAACTCGTACTGGAGATGCCCATGCTCCCATGTAAGATGTACTTTGTCTTCCTACTTCCTTCTAAGACTTTGTTGTATTTACCAATGCTATCATTAGTTGTCTTCAGCCATGTTAGATGAATCTTTAGAAATACAAATTCAGAGCTGGTCTGGAGAGAATCCAGTGGAGGGCCATTAGGGTGGTTAAGGGGTTGGAGGATATGCCATAGGAGAAGAGGCTAAGAGGACCGAGTGTGTTTAGCTGGGAGAAGAGATTGCATGATGATAAAATGGTAGTCAGTGCTGAAAATCAACAATTTTCTTGGTTGTAGCTCTGGCAACTTTGTGAACCTCTGGGTGTGTGTCTTGGAGACTTCTAGGAATCAAATGCCAAGGAACCTGTTTGTGTCTCTTTGTGTATGTATTGCAGTCAGTGAGTTGTAGAAATGTTCCAGTTAATGACAGGTGCAAGATGATAAAGAACATCTACATATTTTAAGTCTCTTGATAATATCTGCTGGAAAAGTTGTCCTCTCTCATCCTGCAAAATCAGCCATTTTAAAACCTAAACTGCAGATAATTTGTGACAGAGAGTGTGTATGATATATTGCTTTGAGAAGCTCAGCCTTAAAAAGTGCTAAATAGTCACTCTCTAAAAGTGAGTTATCTAAAAGGCACATCAAATTAATTGTCTACCATTATTACTTAGATTAAATATATATTGGTAATACTGTCCTGAAGATGTATATTTCAGATTTCCATTTTATGATGTCAGTTGACTATAGTGTTTAAAATCATTAAATTAAGACTTGTCATATGGGATATAAGACTTGATTCCCTTTTGTATTTGACAGATTTTCTTGTAGCTGTACAATTAGTGGTCAGGTGTATGGAAGGGGCACTGGACCTACTGTAGCTGCTGCAAAACAAGCTGCTGCAAAACAAGCATTTGAGAAGGTAAATAAGAAAGGCTCTCTAACAGTATGTGCTATATTTACTCTTAAGACAGAAGTTTAAATCTTGTATCTTTAATCTTTGAACAGATATCCTTGTATTTAAAAGCATAGTCCATGGATTCCACTAAAGAGGGAAACCACCTATATTTTGGTGTGTTGTTTGGGCTGCAGGATTCTGTTGGTAGAATTTGTTGTGTTTATCTATTCAATTGCTGGATTAAAAAAAATCTAGCAGTTGATATCTCTCTGTATTTCAGAATATGGTCTCCTATGTTGTCATTCAAGGATCCATACTCCATACGTATTAAAAATGTCTAAATCCCGACTAATGTACCGGTTGTCTTCTGTGTGAAGTGCTGTTGAGCTGTCTGGCTATGAACATAAGTCTTTTACTGCCTTCTATTGGATCACAAATCTATTCTGAAATGTGAGAAAAGCAAAAACAGGAATCAGAATCAACAGGATTTGCCTTCTGTAGTGTTTCAAGGCAGAGTGCAGCGAATCAACTGCTGACATCATCCTCTGGAGAGCAGAGCTGTTGTCTTCATCCTGGCAATTGTTATTTCCACATGTGCAAAAAATTTATCAGAATTCCCATACTGATTCAAACCCACTTCTGAAATGCACAGAATATATGAACTAACTTAAATGAAGTGTAGTTTAACTTGAAGGATGGCAGTGTGGGGGAGGGAAGAAATCGTTTTTAAAGTACTTTTTAAATTATTTGGCAGTTACTGTGAATTTTCAATGCTTCTTTTATTGTTGTTTTTAAGTTAACCATGTAATTAATGGCCTGTTATATTTCTAGGATTCTTTCTTAATATTTCCATGTGTTGCAAGCTCATGGACCTTTGCATTTTCATCAAAGTCTGAAATTTACTACCTCAAGCAGAACTCCTGTACCAATTAGTGTAAATTTGGGGTGGGCTTTGGTATGGTTTTAATTTTTATTAATTCTCAGTGATGTCTTTGTAACGGACAAAACGTAACTGCCAAAAAGTAGCAAAAGTCCAATACTCCCAAATTAAAAACATGGGGTTTGTTTGTTCGCTATCGTTGAAACATAAAGCCTGTGGTTTTGTTTCCCTGATACCATGATGGAAAACCATGAAACAAAAAAAAAAAATAGTTTGTTTACTTTTTGTCAGGTTATGGTCTGTATCAATTGTAGGCGTTGCTTTTAATGTTACTTTTATGCTCTTAGGACATAGGTGGAGGGAGGAAGTGAAAGAACCTCTAATAAGTGTTTGGGATATTTTTTTTGTTTTGTAGTCAACCTCAATTTAGTTTTACAGATTTTGCAGTGTTTCCATGCTGAGGACATCGAATGTCAATTTGTGCTCAATTTTCAGTTCTGCTGATTACATTTATCAAAGCCTGTGTATATCACATAGGCATATGCATATATATGCAACAAACAATGAAAATGTTTGCTTTTCATCTTTTACTCTTGCCCTAGTTTTAAACAGAATCCAGACACTTCTGTAAATGTGTCTGTATAGTATGATCACTGTGACAGGGCCCTGTGTTTCCTTTCTCTGGGTGGAATTTGGGTAGATGCCTTTCTTCTTCAGGGCTTTGAATGTCCAGTGCAGTTAAAAACTTCCACTAAGAACCTTGTAATCTTCCCTCTCTGCTCTCTGAATGGCAAGTTTTGCACTAGGGGTTTGATGATGTGATTTTGTTAGACATTTTTGGCTTTTCTTTTTTTCAGGTGGAAACTGAAAAGTCTAATGGCAATTCAATATTTAGCATACATAGTAATTCCTCTCAAGTGCCAACTCAGTCTGATTCAAAGTAAGTTGTGTTCACTGCTGATGTGATAACAAAATGTATTTACTAATCATCTTAGAGGGTTGTGTGATCTAATTCCAAATAAAATATGTCATAGTTTGTTTTATTGCAGTATAAACCCATTTAATTTGAATTTATATTCCTTCAACTTCAGAGCAAAATTTGTTGTACTCATGCAATTTTGAGTCCATATGGATGAGCTTATAATGATTTTAGAGTTTTCTGATATATTTATATTTTGCCATGAGTAGTTCTTTCAGAATAATTTTTACTATGATGTAAATATATTAATCTACCTCATTCAGTAGCATTATTCCATGCCGTTTTGACACTCATTTTCCTATTGTGACACAATTGTGAACTCAGTATAACTCAATTTCAGTACTTTCCTGTGCTCCATATTTTGCTTTCTTCTCTCCCTTTTTTAGTTTTGTTTGTTTGTTTGTTTGTTTGTTTTGGGGTTTTTTTGTTTGTTTTTTTCTTTTTTCAAATCCTAATTTCCACCGAAGGAAAAACTTGCTTAGCGAGAGAAAATGAACATACATGAAGTTTCATTTGTGATTTGGGAACCTTAGGTCAAGCCTTTTGTGTCCAGTGGTTTGGCTGTAGTGCCACAACCCCTTCTTTTATGTTCTTTGTATGTATCTGATTGCTTTATAGTTGCACAATGTTAGAGGTGGCTGTACTACCTTGAAATAAATATCTGTATTTAACCTATTTAAGACTATAATAGAATGTATAACTTAGGGATATTTAGATGTCATAGAATCATATAATATAGAAATATAGGAGTATATTGCAAAGTGGTGTTACTTTAGTAGGTTTCCAGCAGGAAGTTGGTAGTTTAAATCAGTCATGATTGCTAATACTTTCTTATGTTTCGCTTTTAAAAAACTATGTAAATGTTGTTACTGCTTCTTCTCTTGTGGCAGTTTTATTTATGATGGTGTTACTTTTACCTAAAAATAGTCCACTATTTTTCAATAAAGCAGTATTTCCTTTGAAGACTCAGCTCCAATGTTGGTAGAAAAAATGAAAGACATGGCAGTATGTGAAAAGCTTTCACCTTCTCAGGTATAGTATGAAAATGGTCTTCCTCCTAATTACATTTTAGACCATGAATAGGGCAAGCTTCTTGTCAGAATGTAACATCAGTTTGTTCTTTTATCCTTTAATCACTAGAAAACACGTGCATTTTTTCCTAAAAATATTCAGTACATTTTTACTGTTAACCATTAGTCATTTGCCTCTGTACTGTGGACTCAGTTCATGTACTGTTGAAGAAATGGGCAGTACTCCCAAGAAGGAGGATCAAACTAAGCTCAATTTTTTCTGTGGGAACAATGATAAAGTTGTGCATAGCATATGTGAAAAAGTTAAAGCTGAGATATGGCTTCATTCTTATTACATTTTTTACCTAAGGTATGAACATATTTATAGGCAATTCCTAAATACATTCTCAGAAACATTGTAAGCGAACTGTAGAGAAAATATTCAGGTTATTTCAGTTAGGCTTTTTTCTCTTTTCCATGTAGAGAAATGCACAGAGTTCTGCCCTGAAGTCCAAAAGGTATGTGTTTATTTCTAAGTATGTGTTTATTGCTATCTCCTGTAAACTATATTGCAAATCACTTCAGTGTTTCTGTATCTAGTAAAGAAATGTCGCTATTGGGAGGTACATTTCATTTCTTGTCACATGTTAGAAAAATGACTCATTACAAATAATTTTGCTTTTATCCTTTTTACAGAAAATTGGCAGCTAATTTTCCTAATGTAAGAAAAGAGGAAGAGAACAAAAATATGTCAGATTCAGATGAAAGTTTGCCAGATGTGGACATGAATACCAGAAAAGGGAATGGAAATCCACACACTGTTGATAAAATGTAAGAAGGATTTGTTTTTTTAATAATATTTGTATGGCAATTACAGTATGTAGGGATCTAGATTTGTTCCTTTATTTATGACACAAGGAGGGAAAATACTGCTGTAAAAAGAACATTCAAAGAAAATTGGTGTTTGATTTTCCCCCCCCCCCCCCCCCCGGAAATTTCAAATCTAGCATAGAAACTGGCATGCAATGGTATTTAATGCTCATGGTCAAACATCATTTGTATGAAGATGTGAGAGGGTAATTACCCAACATGCCTGCAAGGGTCAGTTTCCCTTGTTTGTTTAATATTCCAGACTATGGTTTAGACCTGTAGATTTGTCAAGTGATTCCTGTAGAATGATATTTCAGCAGATGTATCTGTCAGGATTATTTTTATATCCTGTAAATTTAATATTAAACATAATTGTGCTGCCTTTTTTTTTTTTTTTTTAAGATTTCTTGATAATTTTAAAAATATAGAGCCTATTGGTGAAGGTGGTTTTGGGAATGTTTTCAAGGCAAGATCAAAGTGCGATAAGACAACCTATGCAATCAAACGAGTTGAATTCACAAAGTACGTACTGTATATTTACTTCCACTTTTTATTTTAGGACAACCTTAATCAATATTTTAATACTTTATTTTCTCTCTTTAACAATCCTAGGAGCATTTAAGCAGTTTTCATTATTAATTGTCTATTCTTTCTGGAAAACCGTTTTCTTTATTTCTAAGTGATGCTGAAAATGGCATACGACTTTGTTAATTTTTGCATGTACTGGGATAATTTCTGCTGGAGCTGTAAAAATGTAGATTGGTTAAGTTCTACTTTCCCTGAACACACTAGTGCTCTGGTTGTTAATACTGAAAATGTGTTTGAAGAAAACTTGCTGGTTAGTAAAACATTGAAAACAGCACTGTTACTTTTGATATGTTACATGGAAAATTTACACATCAGTAATGCATAACAACTACAATTAGGGAAAATAGAGAAAAATCCAAGTAATAAGTTTTGTGGTTTGTAGTTGGAAAATGTTTTATATACTATCCATGTAGTCATTATTCTCACACTGTGTTACTTGTTCTTTATAAATCTCAACAGAGAATGATGATCTTAATTTTTTAAGGTAATTATTTGTAACTAGTATCAAGTGGAATATTTTATCAGCAGCTGAAAAAATTAATTTCTTTTAGGCAATCCATTGAAAAATATTTAAGTTGTTGGAGATACTTGTCCTTAAATTGTGTGATGTGTACATTTCCCTTCAGATTCTTGTGTTCTTTGCAAATATATGTTATTTTAATTGGTATTTCAATCCCGAGAACGATACTAAAAACGTTCAACTGATCCTTCAAGTGACGACTGCTGGTCTGCTTATGGGTTTGAACTTGCTTCACTAGGTTACGTTACAACAACGACTGCAGGGCTAATTTAGTAATAGTTCTTCATGAGTATTTATACTGACTTCTCTCTGTATAGACAAACTTCATAGAGGTAGAAACAAAACATGGTTGTTTGCTATATTGTGTTTGGTGACCTAATGTTATTATGCATTGCAACCATCTGCTTTTTTTGAGTGGAGATTTAATTTCTAATATGGTGAAAACATTTTTGCACTTTGAATAACTGAGCAGATGAAAGAAAACTCACTGAATTTCTCACTATGATTTTGAACTTTGAACCTTTATGAAGGCAAATAATATGCTTTGTTTCTAAATTAATGTAAAACTGTCTGTATACTGCTACCTAACTTACTATTACATTGTAATAGGGAAATGCCTTTTTTTTTTTTTTTTTTATTCCTTCCTCTCCTCCTAATAGGAATGTAAGGCGTGAAGCAGAAGGACTTGCAAGACTTACACATGAAAACATAGTGCGGTATCATTGCAGCTGGAAAGGGTACGACCATATAACTAGTCGAGATGCAAGGTAACAACAAATTAGTAGTTTGAACTCACAAACTTGTTTATCATAGTGAATTTTATGTTGTAAAATGAAAGGTTGATGGTTGGTTACCAGTTATTGTACAAATATAAATGCATACACATGCTTATATACTTACTGCTAGGAAAAAAGGCACAGTACTTTCCAGCAGCAGGTTGTATAAAATTAAGTATATTTATACCTTCTTTTGCTTGATTAATAAGATACATTATATAATGTTATATTTCTCTTCTGTCTTAACATATGGAACTTAGTGAATATATAGAGGAGAGTATAGAATGCAGAACTCAAAATTTGGGGCAAAAATTAACAACAGAAACTAAAAGACTTTGACAGCTGGCTGCCTAATTCCCAATCAGAAGCTTCCTTTTTGTAATAAGTACTGGTCAGCCAATAGCTCTTATAGATTTAATTATTTCTTTTAAGTTAGCATTTTAGCCATGATGCCTGTAACAGTTTTGGTTGTTTAGGACAGAAATACAAAATGAAATGCTCTTTAATTTAGAGGTAGTCTTTCAACACTAAGACTTCTGGGAAGACTGTGGTGAGAGTTTTACTTGTAAGTTAGGCTATTAACTTTACAAAGCTTCTGTGGGAAGCTTTTTTTTACCAGCTGTAAATTCATACCCTTCAGATGTGTTGCCATATTTACCTGGAGCCATAAAATATTAATGCATTCAAAATTATGATTGGCATAATATCTCTCCAGTGTGCTCAGTAAATGAGAAATAAAACGGAGGAAAAAAGTCTCGTGTCAAAACCCAATCATTAATATGTTGGAGCCTCAATGTCATGTATGTATTTTACATTGAACAGTTATTATGTCAAAGACAGAAAAAAATAGTACTCAGAGCTGAGGTCCCAGCCTGGAATTAGTACCCTGACCTCAAGGCTACAGAGTCCCGAGCCACCTAATGTTTGTTCTTTCAGTGCCTCAGGCAGCTATATTCCAGGGTACTTAGACCACACAGTGCACATAGGAAAAAGTGGTGCCTGCTCCTCTTCATATTGTCCTTCCCCTTACCAGCTCCAGCCTATCCCATGGGCTGATAGTGAGAGAACTCTTCTGGAAAGTGTGAGGCTGTCAGGGGGGTGAATATCTTTCATCTAGATCTCCAGCTCTCGGAAGGGTTTCTCTAGCAGTCTGATGTCAGAGATGGTCCCGGCACTACGTTCTTGACAGGACAGTCGGAAAGAATGTGATCATTCTGGGTAGGAGAGGAAGGCTGGCTGATGCTGTGTTTGTTGTGTGGAATAGAGAATATCTGCCAGGGACTTGCAGCAGTTCCTACACGTCAAGATGGGAGCCAAGGACAGTGCTATTTCTTCCTATATAAGACATGCCTCTAGGTATGAGTGACATAGAACTTGGGCACTCTGAAAACTTTCAGTGTGAACTAGGAAGCAAGCAAAACATTAGGAGTATTTTCCAGGGGTAGGTAGGAACTGAGCAGGGATTCTTTGGTTTGCAGTCCTATTTATTTATATCTAATCCATATTGGTCTAGGGTCTTTTTTAAAATTAAAGGACTTGCAGATTTTGTTTTGGGGAACTCCAAAAATAATTATTAACAAAAAGGCTTTTTTAAAGAAGAGGAATCTGAAGATCACTGATGACTTAGCAACAATTGTATCTTGCCAATTTTAATATGGTATGTAATTTTCTTTTGAAGCCTGAATTCAGACAAAACAACTCGCTGTCTTTTCATCCAAATGGAATTCTGTGAAAAAGGGACCTTGGAAAAGTGGATTGGAGAGAATAGAGAAGACCAAAACTATCATGAAATGGCACAAAACAAATTTTTACAAATAATGAAAGGAGTGGAATATATTCATTCTGAAAAGTTAATTCATCGAGACCTCAAGGTAAGTAGGATAGGTAATTAAAAAAAAAACAAACCTGAAAAAAGAAGATACTACTTATTAGAATTTTAAAAAAATGTTAAATTGTTATAGTCTTTGTTCACTCTGTTATGTACCCTAGCAGTGTGCCTCTTCAGATATCGTTAGTGATTAATTCTTTTTCAGCAACTGGCTGAAGCTCAGCCTAAAATCAAAAGGTAAACTGGAGGATCTTGGAATGCAATAGTCCAAAAAATCAGTAGTCCTCAGTTAACAGGCACTTTCAGTGTGTTACTGGGTCACAAGACTGCCTATGGGAAAAAGAAAAGTTGAGTCTAGGAAGTTTGCTCTTGCCATTTTGTAAAGGGACAGGTTTATCTGTGCTGTGCTTGGTAAAAACATACTCTAGTTGCTTTTGTCCATGTATGCGTATAAATATTTGAATGTTACAGTTCTGGATAGAATTTCATTCTCTACATGTGCATCTTCATAAGAAGATTTTATTTCAATATAAAGGACAAAGCCTTCAGGGCTTTAATATGGCATATGCCAGAATCAAAGCTGCAGGATAGGTTCAAGCTGATATTTGTGCCTGATAGGACATAATTTGTGCCTGGTAGGAACAGAGCCTTTAAACAGTGTAGCCAGGTATAGGTACTGTATTAAATATGTGTGGGCATGGTTGGACTTGAACAGAACAACTGCATTGGGCATTCTTCACACAAAGATCTCTTCCTGTATCTCCTAGCCTTACGGTCCACTGGAGCCTCTTTGAGTAAAAGATAGCATGAGGCTATTTGGTTTTGTTTTAAAAACATTCCAAAGTGTAGTTTCTTGATCTTCTTTGGGTAACTTCGTTGAAACATTATACGGTTCTGGTTTTAGTTGTTTATCACTTTGTGTTCTGGTTTAGGCTGGGATGGAGTTAATATTTTTTCAGTAGGTGGTACAGTGCTGTGTTCTGGAATCAGGATGAGAATAATGTTGATAATCTAGCCAGGACAGGTGACCCAAACTGCCCAACAGGATATTCCACACTATAGAATGTCATGCCAAGTATATAAACTGGGGGAGGTGGAAGAGAGGCTGATCTGGGTTTGTGGAAAGGGTCTGGCATCAGTCAACAGGTAGTGAGCAATTGCATCATGCATCACTTTTTTTTCCTTGTTTTATTTTGGCTTTTATTACTATCACTATTATTATTTACTATTATTATTATTATATTTTACTTTTGTTTCCATAATTAAACTGTTCTTAACACAATCTAAAAGCTTTACTTTTGATTCTCTCCCTCATTCCACTGTGGGCATGGGGAGTGAGTGAGCAGCTGCGTGGTGCTTAGTTGCCAGCTGGGTGTAAGCCATGACACTTTGTCAAATTTAAAAAAGGGAAGTTCAATGGAAATGTAAAAATGATACTCCGAGACACCTGTAGTAAGCCTTAACTCTGCAATTGACTTACTACAGATGATCCTGCTGTGCCTAGGAGAAACTCTGATTTGAGTGGAATTCCATTAGTGAGCCTAAATACTTTTCCAAGTGTTTTAAATCCAAGGGCTAGGACTGAAGACTGAAAAGCACTTCTGGATATAAAGTATGCACAATGTATTTGAAGAGCATCAAATGATACTTATGACTGAGCTAGTGGAAAAAAAAGGTGCAGGTACTGCAGAATATACTACTTGAAATTTAGTTTGTGGTTTTGAAACTTAATTTAACTTTTTTGTTTCCCACCCCATCAGTTTCTTAATGCTGTTTTCTGTGAACAATTATCAAATTTTATGGGGAACACTTCTGTGGCTGATTATGCTTGATGATAAACCTTGCTCATATGGTGTTTTTTTTTTTTTTTTTTTTTTTTTTTTAATATTAATATATATAGCCTCCGAATATATTCATATCACATGATGATAAAATAAAAATAGGTGACTTCGGTCTTGTGACTCCTGTGGCATATGAGACTCTGACTAAGAACATAGGAACAAAATCATATATGGCACCAGAACAGGTAATTATCCTGCTATATTAGTGTCTCTGTAATTAGATTTGAACTATAAAGTCAGCACTGGATGTTCTAAATCCTAATCTCAGTATTAAAGCAAGTTGCCTTAAGTTCCCTGGTATGACTGTATATGAGGATAACTGTATTCTGGAGAAAGCTGTCTGCCAGTGTGGTAGTGTTTTTTTCTCTGGGCTAACCTACAGTCTGACACTGCATGCTGTAAGGAATGCTTTTGCAAAACCAGGCTGCCAGGCATACGTACTTAAATTTTAATTTAGGACCTCTGTTAACTGTGGCATTTGAGTCCTTCTATTTGTTTCATTATTTGTCACAGGGCAATATTGGCATGTTTTATCTATATAGGTTTGTAGAAGTAAATTTCTGTGTGTTTAAGGTGATACAATAGTCACTAAATAGGTCTGTGGCAGAAAGTGTTAATGACTTACAAGGATATTGAGTAGGGCCAGTCCTGTAGCATCGGGGTGGAAATTTCTGCTGACTTCAAATTTTGCTTTAGGAAGTGTTGCTGTACAGTTGGATTTGATGCTTTTATTGTTCTGGTTCTTATCTTTCTAGTTCGGGGACAGATATGGAAAGGAAGTAGATATTTATGCACTGGGACTAATTTGGTTTGAAATTCTTTCAGCACTTACTAATCATGAGAAAAATGAGGTATGTAATCTTTAAATTTAAAAAAGAACTCTGATATTGTTTTGCCTTGCTGCTGATCACATGTTGATTGCACACTAGAAGGAATCTGTGTATCTAGAGGAGAGTCTCCATTTACATTTCCCCCCTTAATTCATTTCCATAAGGCCTGTAAGTCCTCACACCTTAGTTGAAATGTCATAACTGAAGAAATATTACAGTTTATTTCTCCTGTGTCCTGTTACCTATACATTAAAGCCTGAGTATACTAAAGACTAATGTCAAGCTAAAAAATATATTAAGTTTCTTATAAATCTTTCTGTTTGATCAGAAACTTGAAGCGGATGTTTTCTAATTTTAGAAAATAAAAATTATGAATGGGTGAGTTTTGTCTCTGCCATGCTTGTCTTCACTGCACAGTGGAGTAAGAACAAGGTTTCCACCAAGGCAAAACACTTGCACTTTTTCAAAATGAAAATGAAAGTGATTTGGAATAAGTAGCTTTAAGCGAAAAAGATGTTACTTCAAAAAGAAACTCAGTGTTACTTAAGCTTTTTTTTTTAAAGGCAACTTTTACACATCTTGAGTTTTTTACTGCTACTTCGTACATTATTATTGTTACAGCTCATATGCACAAACCTAAATGTTTCTAGGACAGTGATGTAGCTGCTGGGTGTCTTGTCTAAAGTAACAGTGGTCAGAACAAGAAGGCTTTGAACACTGTTAGCTGGATCCTTTTACCAGTATGAGAAAATCATACCAGCGTGTCTTTTCAAGCTGGTTCTATTCAGCCACCTTGCAGTACCTCCTAAGATACTTTGTTCCTGCTCACAGCTGACTGCAAATGCATGCACAGTCCCATGGAATTTACAGTTGGAAAGGCATTATTTATCATTTCCCTAAGTATCAAAATCTTGAGCACTGTAGGCAGGTACACGGATGGAAAGTCTAGGATGGTCTTCAGCTGCTCCATTACCTTAGAAAGTAATTTCACTTAATGGAGCATGATGAACTTTCAGCTGGCAAGCCCTGCTGAAAGAACATCATGTTGATGATTATTTTGTGTTGAGTAACTGGTTCAGCTGACCCTACCAGCAGGTAGGGTCACAGGCATAAGGCTACTGCTGAAGAGTAGGGAAAAAGCTTGGAAGTTGGTGGGAGCTGTTGTTTTACTGGATACTGGTTGTAAGGGCTTGGTACATCAGGGGCATAGGATCCATAAGTCTAGCTAATGATTCAGGATGCATAGCTAAGTGTAAGAACAAAACTATCATCTTTAGGCAGACATTACACTAGTTAACAAAAAACGAATTGAGTAGACTGCTCTTTTTACCCAGGAAGCTACATCATGGCAGAATCACAAAATGGGTAAGGTTGGAAGGGACCATTACAGCTCACCTAGTCCAACCTATCTGCTCAAGCAGGGTCTCCTAGAGCATGTTACTCGGGCTTATGTCCATAATATCTCCAGTGAGGGAGACTCCACAACCGCTCTGAGTAATCTGTTTTGGTGCTTGGTCACCTGCACAGTAAAGAAATTCTTTCCTCATGTTCATGTGGAATTTCCTGTGCATCAGTTTCTGCCTGCTGCCTCTTGTCCTATTGCTCAGCACCACCGAGAAGAAACTGGCTCCATTCTCTTGACGCCCTCCCTTTACATACTTATAGACATTGAGGAGATCCCCTCTCAGTCATCTCTTCTGGAGGCTGAACAGGCACCGGTGCCTCTGTCTTTCCTACAGTCCCTTAATTATATTACCTTCCACGGGACCTGCTCTAGAAGCTCCCTATCTCCTTTGTACTGAGGATGTCTGAACTGGACACAGCACTCAAGATATGCCTCACCAGGGCTGAATAGAGGGGAAGGCACCTCCCCTGACCTGCTGGCAATGCTTTTCCTAACGCACTCCAGGATACCATTGGCCTTCTTGGCCCACCAGGGCACACTGCTGGCTCAGGGACAGCCTGTCGTCCACCAGGACCCTGAGGTCCTCTGCAGAGCTGCTTTCCAGCAGGTCAGCACTCAGCCTGTACCAGTGTCTGGGGTTATTCCTCCCAGGCGCAGAACCCTGAATTTGCCTTTATTGAATTTTAGAAGGTTCTTCCCTGCCCATCTCTCCAACATGTCAAGGTCCTTCTGAAGGGCTGCACAGCCCTCGGGGGTATTGGCCACTCCCTCCAGCTTTGTGTCATCAGCGACCTTGCTGAGGAGACATCTGCCCCTCCATCCCACTCACTGACGAACAAGTGAAACGATACCGGACCCAGTATCCACTTTTAGGGGACTAGTCCCTGTAGTCTCCCAGCTAGACCCTCTGCCACTGTGCACTATACTGTGGAATCTGCCGTTTAGCCAGCTCTCAATCCACCTCACCATCCACTCATCCAGCCTGCAATTCCTGCGCTTGCCTCTGAGGATGTTGAGAGAGACAGTGTCATACAGGAAAAAAAAAAAAGTTACCCAAACCCGGTTTCTAAAGCATCTAATTAGAAATCCTCTATATGTTAGCTGCTTTGAACTCCACATAGCATTTTTGGCAGTGACATACTTCAGTTCAGTGTGTAGTACTGAACATGGAAGCACACCTGCTTGGCTTGCAAACAGCAACATCCAAAGTAGGAAATTCAGTTGTCTTGCTTTTTTCTTTTCTTTCAATGTGGTTAGATGACATAAATCCACTACTTTTAAATTAAGGAAAGAAGGATAATGATTCTGAAATAGAGAGAACTGCTGAAACAAACACATCATTGTAGAGTGCAAAGCTTTTAAGCTTAGAAAGGAACAATAGTTGATGAAAAGTCCATAAAACCAAAACAATGTAGAACTAAATGGAAGAAACTTTCAAACTGTATACAGTTACTTACTTTCTTGTAGATTTGTGGTTTCCTAATTACTTCAGTAAACTATATGGGTCATAAGGTAGACATGTAAAATATAATCAAAGAAAGCATACTAAAACTGTTCTCTTTTATGAATTTCAGGTATGGCCTTCTGTTAGAGAAGGTAATTTTCCAGAGAGTTTCACCAACCAATTTCCACCAAAGGTATGGGATTTTAATACATTATTTTGATTACTTTATTTACTAAAAGAAATAAAAATCTATTGACATTTAAATTTTTTTGCAGGCATCCATAATCAAAAAGATGCTTTCAACAGACCCTTTGAAGAGACCCTCTGCAACTCGAATACTTGACCTTGTTAAGTCTGTTGATAAAGAGAAGTCACCTAAAAATTACACTTGTTAAATGCCCTTTTAAAAGGCTTTCAGACTCTGTTTAAATCCAGAGTTTCATGGATTTATTAAAACTGACAACATAACAATAGATGTGAGAAGCAACAGCAACACTTGGGGTATGTCTTTTCCTTGGTGCTTTGCCTTCCTGCCACTGTCGAGTCTGTCAGCTCGAAGGCCACATCACCATTCGTGTCCATTGGCTGCAGACCAGGACTGGATACTTCTGCAAGGAATCACTTGCAATTTTTACCTGAAAATACAGGTTGTGGATGAGCTGAACTGTATTCTACAAATAAGTAAAAGAACCTAGTCCTTTTCTGTTAGAAGATTATGTTGATGGGCTTAAGTGCTAACTGGCCTGTGGCAAATCCCTGGATGTGGTGCTGCATCCATTATTCTTTGAGGTTATCTATTGCTTTCTGTGGAAGAAGTGCTGTCTTCTGGTATGTGACTCAAACCTTTCTGATTTTTCAGTGATACTTTTAATAATTACTGGAATGCTCCCTTTAAAACTAAGACTAGTCTTGGTAGAAAAGATACTAGGAATAGGCATGGGCTATTCACTGAATTTCAGTACTGTAAGGTGAGCTTTCTTATCTGTTTACATCTGTTGATGACCTAGCACCTTCAGTGCTCTAAAATTTAATAAGATATACTTTTAGAGTAGGCATTTATTAAGAATTTAAATGTTAAATGTTCAGCTTCTAGGAAATCTACTTGAGAAAGTTCTAAACTTCTGAAAAACTTGGGTTTCGATGGTTTGGTTTTATTTTTTTGAAAGGAACACTTAAGGTGCTATTAATATAGCAAAATTCTCCAGACTTTCCTCAGTAGTAATCATTTGAAGTCCTATGCTGAGAGAGGACTTTTTACATTCCTTCCTATGCTGCTAGGTTTTAATCCCTATTATAATACTGAGGAATGCCTAACCCTTAATTCAGTGTACTGAATACCTCTGGTGCTTCCACTGTCAGCCCCACAAAAGTTAGCAGCAGTTTTTCTGTTACTCTTCACTTATATACTTCAAAGAGTTCAGAGTTGCCTGAACTCAAAGTATTGTGTGTGCAGTGGTGGGGAGCAGGGCGAAAAGACAGGCATGTTAGTCCTTCCAACTGCTTGCCTTTGAGCTGTATCTTGTCGAACTGTTCATTGCTGTAGAGCCAATGTAACTCTATAAGGGCAAATGAAGAGAGATTTCTAATCAGAAAAATAGGTCAAGTACTGTATGCCTTTCCTGAAATGTTAAATGGGTTCAACGTGGGTGATTGCTTAAAAGGAATAATGTAAATTAATGCTTGCTAATTTTCATAATCTTATGCAAATTATTGCTGTTCTACTGTGAGTACTTGTTGCTAAATAAGAATCTGAATGTACATACTTTTGTAAGGCCTTAAGCAGTTCTGGGTTTTTTTCTCATTATCATGAATCATACATATAGAATCATAGAATGCTTTGGGTTGGAAGGGACCTTAAAGATCATCCAGTTCCAACCCCACTGCCCTGGGCAGGCACACCTTTCACTAGACTAGATTGCCTTGAACACTACCAGGGATGGGGCATCCACAGCTTCTCTGGGCTACTTACTCCAGTGCCTCACCACCCTCACAGTAAAGAATTTCTTCCTAATATCTAATCTAAACCTGCACACTTCCAGTTTGAAGCCATTCCCTTCCTCATCCTACATGACATGCCCTTGTAAAAGTCCCTCTCCAGCTCTCTTGTATGTTCCCCTGGATGGCTGCTGTAAGGTCCTCCCAGAGCCCTCCCATGGGCTAATTAGTATTTCTTTGCAGTGGTCAAGATCTGTGAGAAATTATATCCTCACTCACATATATTACTAGTTACTACCCACTTTCTCTTCTCTTTTACCCATTGAGGTATAATTGCCATATATGATTTTACTAGATCTTTAAGGCCTTTTCCAAACTAAACAATTCTATGATTCTATAAAGCTATTCATAATATGGGGGTGGATATGTGACAATCTTTTGTCTGAATATCCTTTACAGTTTTTGGACAGAGCACCAGTTATCTTCTTCTTGTTACGTAATATCGAGCTTGCCCCAGTAGTTTTGATACATTTTTCCTCAACAGTATTTGTATACTTTAGCAGTACCTTTTTATTAATGGCTACTTACAGTAGCAACTTCTGTTTCCTAAAAATAAAAGTTCTACTAAAATGTATTTTTATATTAAGAAAATGAAAACCCAACATCATGATCTAGTTTTCTTTAGTTATGTAAAATATGCACCTTCACATACAACAGAATATTGGTTCAAATAACATCACTGTAATATTTCACAAACTTCTTTTTTTCCCCACCAAGTTTAAGATAGTAAGCAAAAAGAATCTGATATTTAGTCATATCCATAAAGATGAAAACCCCTGTTTAACACATTATACAACAAAGGGACTAGCCAATATTTATTCCCTTACTCAGACTTGAATTTTATTATTGGCTGATCTTGTTCAGTTGGGCGGGGCATAAAAAAAGATGTGGAAGTCTTAACCTACCTCTCAATTATGGTAGTTCAATTATAAATATAAAGTTTTAATTCCTATTAAACTGTGCATCGAACAGAAAATGTGAGTTTAACCTGTCAACCTAACTCTTCTTCTTTGGTGTGAATTCTTGAGTATAACACGGCTCCAAACCTTCTAAAAGATATTATGGATTATACATACTTACTTAGGACTCCTTCCTTTAGAAAGGTTTTAGTCATGATCTGCAGCACTGTCTCCAGGACAGTTTGAAGATAAATCTTCAGAGTCTAAAGGATAAGCAGAGAGAAAGTGAGTAATTCCAGCTCAGAGGAGAAAAAATGATTACTAGAAATATTTGCAGAATCCATGTAAAACAGATTAAATAGAATTCAAGATTTACAAGATATTAACTTCCAAATTTGTTTTAAAACAAGGAAAAAAATTCCATCCTCTTTGGTGCAGTGGAAATGTATAGTTTTCTAATTGTTTCAGAAACATAGTATTAAATATCTGAATTTTGTTTTCTCAAAACTAAATTAATACAAATAGAAATTCAAATACATTTCAATATGGTTGGCTGTGTTTTGTTGTGTACTTTTTCATTTGTTTTTGGTTTTGGGTTTTTTTGCTTGTTTCATTTTTTGTGGGATTTTTTTGTTTGTTTAGTTTGGTTGTGGGGTTTTTTTGTGCATGTAAACCTAAAAATTGCCTTACAATCAAAATGTACAAAGCTTTATGCAAAACCAGTAGCCTGTAAGATAAATTTGCTATGTAAATTTAAAATACTGCCATAAGAGAAACACAAGGGATATTATCTACTATTTGAGCTGCATAAGCAAAGCAAAACACAAAAGACTGGCTTACTCTCACCTTCATAGGTTGTTCCACACCAAATGCAATAAAAGTGTTCTTTTCTCAAGTAGGCTGTCAGGATGTGTAGCTTTTCTGATACCTAGAGATATATACAGGAATGCAATGATCTGGGGCTCACATGACAAACATCAATTTAAGCTACTGGTTTGCTAAAATAAATTTTTAACCTTTTGCTATTGAAAAGCTACACAACACTGTAGCTCAGTAAGACATGAAGTTTTCCAAATCAGTAGAATAGGGCACAGGAATTCATCATCTCTGGAAAATTAATGGCTGTTGTTTGCTCATCCTTCTTTCTAGCTAAGTAATCTGCACTAAAGAGAGCTACCTAAAAACATTACTTAGCTACCCGATTTCAAGTATACAGTATCTTTTGTGGATTTTTTCACACCTAATCTCTGACTGTGTAACCTAGTTCTCAAAAATTGTGAATTTCCTGTGTCCAAGCTGAGACGATCTGCAAAGCATTTTCAGAAATTACTCGGTGATTCCAAAATTCAATCTCAGACATCAGATGAGGCATCCAAATTAAAACTCAAAAGCAAGGAACTATGACCTTGCATAGATCAGCCTCAAAACAGATGAGCAATAAATCAGTGGTTTAATGTTTTATATTTTATCATGTAACTGCTATAAGAATCACTGCTTTGAGATTGCAAAGAGGCCCTTCACTACAGCTTGGAAAATGACATGTATACATATATGGCTTATATATATATGTATACATACATACTGTTTAAGGGATTATTGAATTTAATTCTGAATCAAGCCATTAATTTAGTTGCAGAACTTACACTTAAGTCTGAGCTTGTGCATTCATCTTCCTTGTCTTCCTCATCCTTTTTGTCTTCCTCTTCAGGTTCCATCCAAAACCAAGTCTCTTTGGGAACTTCAATGTCCTTAAATAATGAGGGATTTAAATTGATGTTATCTGCCTTTGTAGGTTTTCTTGTAAGGTGCCAAATAAAACCAGTTTCTAGAAGGTGAGGTGTTAAGTTTTAAAACTTGCATGTATAGTAGAACCAAGGATTACTAAAGCTGTAGTGAGAAACTAAGTACAGCAATCCACAAGAAGGATTATTCACTTTTTTTTTAAATGATGAAATGCATGCTAGTCTATTCCATCTGTGTTTGGTACGTGTGAGGCTACATTGCAACATTATCTCACACCAAGGCTGTGAGCAGACACCCATGTTTATCAGTTAAAGACATGCTGCCCCAAGTTATTTTGTCAAGAGATAACATGGTGCTTCCTAATCCACTTCAGGTAATGTTACAGGAAGAAGAGTCAACAACGATTATCTAAGCTTAATTCAAGTGACTTCATCTGAAGAAAACTAAGTAGTATCAAACAATCTCAGCAGAACTTGTGAGGTGGTATTAACCTCTAAAAGGTTCATAGAGCAAAAAAAACCTTGAAGTTTCAAGTGGCAAAAACTTATAGTAGTTCACTCCTATTACCTGCGTTATTCCTTGCAGGTGGAAGGTACTTAAGTTTTGTGAGTTTTTTTGCCGTTGATTACTTAGTTGGATTTTTTGTTTAAGTGCTGCTTTGGTGAATCTGCTAATTCCCTCAATGATGATTCCCATCCTTAGAGACACTAAAGAGCTGCCTGGACATGGTCCTGGACAACCTGCTTTAGGTGACCCTGCTTGACCAGGAGGGTTGGACAAGATTACC